TTTATTTAAAATTTAATCACATGTAAAGCAACTCCATTCATTCCTCAAAGATCCAGACATACGCGATAAATGCATAAATAAGAGCATGGGAATGATAAACACAAAATTCAAGAGAACAGGTGTGGAGTGGGGGTGGGTGGATAGGGAGGTACACACAGAGGGCTTCAAACAGGATTGATCGATTTTTATTTCTTAAACTGAGTGGAGGGTACATGGGTGGTCCTTGCATTATCCTTTAAGTCGTTTTGTGTGTCTTAAAGATTTGTAGTAAAACAAACAGCAAACTAACGAAAACCTAAACTGAAAGGATGGCCACCTAGAGTGGGGGTAGAGCCTGGCTGGTAGGGGAGCTGAGCCTCCATCGCTGATTTGTCCCTGGATTTGATGTGCCACCGTGGCAAAGTCACTTCTCTCAGGATGAGACGCAAGAGCCTCATTCTCGATGAGAAGGGAAAGAATCCGTCCTGGGCATCAAGGGAGTGGCGGTGAGAGGAAATGGCTCTTAGAGGGACTTGATGCAAGCCTGCGTCCTTTCTTTGCTTCTCCAGTTGCGGTGAACCGCAAACTGGCATCAGAGCCCGGACAGGGCTAGGTGCGGGGCGAGGAGAGCCAACGGGAAGGGGTGTCCGGGCCGGCACAGCTGGCGGCAGTAGGGCAAGGGAAGAAGGGCTGCTCGCGCCCCGCCGCGTCCGGAGTCCAGGGACTCCCCGCAGACCACACACGCGACAGAGCCCAGCGGAACCGAGTACTCAGCCGCGGGTTGCACCCGGATTCTCAGCCTCCGTTGACTGCGGTCACCGAGCTGCGAGGTCGGTCACCACAGCGAGGGGGCGTTTCTTTCTGGACCCTCTGAGGGGACCGGGCTCCTGGAGCAAGGCTGCTGAGGTCCAGGGCGCACCGTTTAGAAAGCCGCCCAGAAGGGGCGTCCAGTTATGGCTCACAGGTGCCAGGCTTCCGGCTCTTTCATCTGGAGTAATCTTAACTACTGCCCTAACGCAGACAGGGAGAGTGACCGGCCTCAGGCCACACAGCAGGTGATTGGAACCTTGCTACTTGTATACCCTTGGGCAAGTTACGTAACCTCTCTGGACCCAGTTTTCCTAGCGGTAAAGTGGCTGCAAAATTGTGTGTGTATGTGTGTATCTGGAAGACTCCATATCAAAGTATTAAGAGAGATTTCTCTGTGGTAAGATTATGGATGATTTTAATTTTTTCTTTTGGTTTATCTATTTTCTAATTTGTTGTTTTATAATGAATATGTATGTATTCAGTTATTTTTAATTTTTTAAAACAGAGTAATACTGGGGCTGGCCTGGTGGCGCAAGTGGTTAAGTGCGCGCCCTCCGCTGTGGCAGCCCGGGGTTCGCAGGCTCGGATCCTGGGTGCGCACCCGACGCACCGCTTGTCAGGCCATGCTATGGCAGGTGTCCCATATAAAGTGGAGGAAGATGGGCATGGACGTTAGCCCAGGGCCAATCTTCCTCAGCAAAAAGAGGAGGATTGGTAGATGTTAGCTCAGGGCCGATCTTCCTCAAAAAAAAAAAAAGAAAGAAAAAAAACCCCAGTAATACTGCACAGAGTTGTTGTGAGGATTAAAAGCGCGATAATGAAGAACACAGAGCCCAATGTCTAATTCGCAGTGTGTTCTCCAAAAATGTGAGTTCTGCCTACTCACCCTTCCCTCCTATACTTTCCTTCCCCTCTGGTGTTGGAGACTCTCGCCCCCAGATCTGGGTTGGGGAGGAAGGAGTTGGTGGTACAAGGCTCTGACCAGGTACTGGCTGCGTGGCTTTGGGTAAATCAATTAACCTCCTTGAGTCTCAGCCACTTTGGCTGCAAAATGGGAAGACTAACACCTACCTCAAAGGGAGTTTTCAAGGACTATATATCATACAAGATGGGAAACTGCCTGGCACATAGTAGCTCTGCAATAAGTGTCTGCAGGAGGAAACATGATGCACATGATGAAGGAACAAGCACTGGGGTAGGAGCTAGACCAGAGAGGTAGAGGATTCAACATAGATTCCACAGAGCCCAAGGGGTCCATGGATAGAGTGGGCGGGGGGTGTCCATGAACTTGGATGGAGAAAAATTACATCCTTGTTTTCACTAACCTCTAACTGAAATTTAGCATTTCCTTCTATCATGCATGTAAGCAACAAATCACAGTAGTAATAGCAGTACCTGTGACTTTGGTACCAATAAAAATCAGGTATTTTGATATTGCATTAGAATAGTGGTATCTTAAAACACTGTTTACCCTCATTCACCACCTCAGAATTACCGTAGTCTCCAGATCTTGTTGTTTAATATGTTAAAAAAGGACTAACTCACAAAATAAATATTTTGATAATGATTCTATATAGTTGGTATCCTTTGTAATCCTAAGTAACTCACTTTTTGTAGTTAAAAATATTCTTCTGAATAGGGGTCCATAGTCTTCATCAGACTGCCAAAGGGGACCTTGGTTAGACAGACGTAGGTACCAGTCCTGCCTGGGCCACTGACTGCTGTGTAGCACTGGGCCTGTTATTTCTCTCAGGGGCACAATCATCCCTGCTTGGCTCACCCCACAGGGGTGTTAGGAGGAACAAATTAATTCTTGGCTGGAAAGGGACTTTGGAAACTGTTGGTGGCTTCCCAATTTTGCCAAAAGTCAGAGCAGAGTGCTTTCTACCTCTCAGCTGAACCCCATATCTCCAGAAGACCCCTCTCCCTTTCACAGGATTCCGTTCCTCCCCTTTACTCTCCATCTGATAAGGAGGCCAAAGTGCACGGCCATCAGAGTATGTCATCCAGTTCCCAGTTTGTGAGATCCACAGCTCAGGGGAGGGATTTTTTGGCAGATGATAGCAATTCCCTCCAGTTTTCATATTTGACCTTACAGTGACCCTTGAGGACACTACCCCCTCAAAACTCTTCTCTGCTTCTTCAGATGGTGACCCCTCTGTGGCCACAGTCCTCACATTTCCCTTTTCACTGCCCTGTCCTGTGATTGTCTGACTGTTTCATCGTTCTGTGTGTTTCTCAAGGGCAGACCCCCATCTGACCCGTCTCAGAGGCTCCAGAGCCCAGGTCAAGGGCATGGCACACAGCATCTGAGGAGCTGGCCTATAGAAGAAAAGGAACTCGAGGCACAGAGAGAGAAAGCAGGGAAGGGGTAGAAGTAGGGCTTGAGCCCAGACCCCCTGATGCCCATGATTTATCCCACACACACCCAATGCAACCGATGGAGGAATTGGGGAGTCCCAAGGCATCACATGAACTATTTCCTCCTCTACCCACTGCTGTGAAACACGGGGAGAGCTAAAGATTTTGTAATCTTGAGCTAGCCCCTGCCCTTCTGTACAATGGAGGTGTCAGAGTCAGTGGCTTTCAAACCCTTTTAACCTGACTCAAAATAAGAAATGCACTTTACATTGTGATCTGGTCCACAATGCACACAAACATAGGTAACTGAAACAAACATTTTATGAAAGAATACTTAGGGACCGGCCCGGTGATGTAGTGCTCAGATTCCCACACTCAGCTTCAGCAGCCAGAGGTTCACAGGTTCAGATCCCCGTCAAACCATGCTGTGGTGGCATCCCACATACAAAATAGAGGAGGATGGGCAAGGATGTTAGCTCAGGGCCAATCTTCCTCACCAAAAAAAAAAAAAGAAAAGATACTTAGCTTTACTATGAGCAGTGCACTTTTTCTATTCCGTTTAATTTTTCTTTTTTTAACGCTAGCTGTGATTCAGTAACTGATTACGTGGCCCACAGGTCCTTTTCAGCCCCAACAACCTGTGATTGGCTGAATGGGAATCATTGACAACTAAAGCTCAAAAGTCTCTAATCCCGGCTCAGTGTAATTGGGCGGAGCTGAGCACCTCTCAGAGCCGGTGTTTCCCCAATGCACCCTGAGAGGACAGACAGGCAGGCTCTAAGGGCTTCACATAGATCCCTTAGACTGTGGTCCTCCCACCCTAGTGAGAACACTGCCCTGTGACCTAGAAATAATTTGAGGATGAAGAGGTGTGCCGGCTCTGCTTCCTGGTGGGTGGGGTTACTACATCTGGGACATCCCCTAGCCCCTTGTCCTAGGCCAGTGTGGTCCTAGGCCAGTGTGGCAGGAAGTGTGACGCCCCTTGTCCTAGGCCAGTGTGGTCCTAGGCCAGTGTGGCAGGAAGTGTGACCAGGGGAGTGTGACAATGTCTGTGCGTGAGCTAGCTGCGCAGCGAAAGGAAGAGGCAGGCAAGGGAGCCAGAGGATGAGGACATTTAAAAGTCCACTGGAAAAGAGGCACTGTGAGAGCCCCAGAAAGAGCAAGGGCGTGAGAACTGTCTAGTTCCAGGTTAGAACCCAACGGGTTTAAGAGTCCTGGAAACGACTTCTCTCTGACCCGTAGCTCTCACTTATAAAATGAGTTTGAACGTCCCTGGTCCTCCGGGTTGTTGTGAAGGTTAACTGAGGTGGTATACTGACTCTACAGTGTGGTCGCCGGCTGGTCGCTCGGCTGTGTCCTGCACTAGCCTGGACTGCCCCGAGATTCCCAGCGCCCAGCACGGAGCCCAGCACCAGGCGGTGCTCGGGGCAGGAGTGGAATCGACGCCCGAGGCTTCGAGTCCCGCCCTGCCACCCTGGACACGTCGTGTCGTCTCTCTGAGCACCCAGCGCCCTCGTGCACAAACTGGGGACGCAGTGGGGCCGGAGAGGGGAGCGCGGTCAGAGACACGCGCCCGGGCGGCTCCCTCCTCCCGACCCCGCGGGTCGCCCCCCGCCCCGCCCCGCTCCCGCCCCCTTCCCGCCGGTCTCCACCCCCACAGCTCCTCGGCACTCCTCCTCTCTCTCCTCTTCGTCCTCCATCTCCCCTCCTGTCCGCGTCCCTGGTCGCCTCCCTGGGTCCTCGGGGACTCCAGGTCTCACCGCTGCGTCTCCGCGCCTCTCGCTGTGTCTTTCTCGGTCTCTGTGCGTCAATCTCTGCCTCTCTCTCTGTGTCCCTCTCGGGCTGTCTCCGTCCGTGCCTCGCTCCCCCGCCGCCGTGCCCTCCTCTCGCCGGCCGTCCGGTGGCCCGAGGGGGCGGCGGGCCCGGCGCGGACGCGATGAGCGGCGCCTGCACGAGCTACGTGAGCGCCGAGCAGGAGGTGGTGCGCGGCTTCAGCTGCCCGCGGCCGGGGGGCGAGGCGGCCGCCGTCTTCTGCTGCGGCTTCCGCGACCACAAGTACTGCTGCGACGACCCGCACAGCTTCTTCCCCTACGAGCACAGCTACATGTGGTGGCTCAGGTACCGGCCCTGGCCCTAACCCCACTAGAGCTTAGCCCCCTCGCCCCACCCTCAGGCCCAGCCGCCTGCTAAATCCTCAGTCCTCATGTCCTCATCCAGGTGCACACCCCAGCATCAGCACCAACCCCCACCCAGCCCTTAGCCCCTCAGGCCCAATACTGACCTTTGCGCTCTCGCTATCACTAACCCAACTCCCCCTGCAACCGCTTCTCAGCTCCATTCCCCTATCCTGACCCTCTCCATTATTTAGATCCAGGCTTGAACCTCACACAGCAAACGTCATCTTCCACCACCCAACCCCAAATTACATACCAACCATCTCCCTAACAGCAAACTCCCATCTTCCAACGTTCACAGGAAACCCAAACTCCACCCTCATCCAAGTGCCCACAAGGGTCCCCTTCCTAATGTCAACACCAACCTCACCCCTGACTTTACTCACTCCCCAATTCTGATCCAGGCCCTTACTCTATCACCAGCCCCAACCTCCCCCTCCATCCTCCCTGCAACCCCACCTCAGCACTCTTCCCCCACCCCTACTCCAAACATTCTCTAGGCCCACAGGAAAACGTCAGCCTCAAGCCTTAATCCTAACCTGATGCTACACCCCAACTCAACCCCAGCCTCAGCCCAGCCTCATATTTCGTCATTCTTTCAGCCACTCCTTACTGAGCACTGAGCGTTTGACAGGCCTGTGGTGAGTGCTGGGGATGTACACCACTCCCAGCTAAGGCAGAAGACCTGGGGATCAGAGCTGCCTCTGAGTTTATCATGAGACAGTGGCATAGTGCCACAGCAGAAGCCAGCACAGGCTACATTAATAGAAGTGTACTTTGGGTGAATTCCCACCCACAGGTCCTCAGTCTCCCCACTTGTTCAGGGAAGGAGGTGGTTAGGACAGTGCTGACATTCCTGGAACCTAAATGTGGGGCTGGGAGGGCAATAGGTCTCCATCCTTCTGGGTCTCCAAAGGCCTCACTCAGAAGATAGGACCTGATCCTGAGCCTGATCTGGAAAGCAGACATCAGCAAAAATGGGGTGGGCCATCTCAGTAGACAGTGATTTTCCTGTCCCTGGAGGTATGTGACCAGAGGCTGCATACCCTCTGGGTGTGAGAGGACAGTCTGCCACTAAAACTTCTCTGAGCCGCTGTCTTTTCATCTATCAAATGGGAAGGATGATAAGTCATTGCTGTGATTTCTGACTAGGGCAAGGACCAAATGAGATAAAAAGGTGAAATCAACTTGGCATATGCCACTGACAATTACAGATATTATCACTTTTTCTAGACTGCTCAATCCATAATTCTAAGGGATTTTCAGATGGCCTGGTTTTCAGATCCTGCACATTTGGCTGCTATCTGTAATCTGCTATTTGTAACTGAGGGAATTATATTAATTTACTATTCTCTGTTCATCCATATATTCATTCATTCATTATAGCCTTTGTGTTGTGCCAAGTGGTATGTTAGGCATTGGGGACACAGAAATCAATTATTCCCTACCCCTGAGGAGCTCACAGTCTGTTCAGAGAGATACGACATGCACCTAAAGTATAACAATGGAGTAGTTTTTGAAGACCCACTGTGTACTTAGCACTGACCTGGGTGCTGAAATGTGACAGCACTGACCTCCCTTTGAGGTATAGAGACAGTGTAGAGCCTTGGGGCTGGTTAGAACCCTGTCCAAACCTTGACTCTGTCACTTAACAGTTATGTGAATTTGGGCAAATTATTTCCAAGTCTCTTTTTTTATCTTTAAAATGGCAATAGTAATACTCGTCTCGTGGAATTGTTGTGAGGATTAAATGAAATATTGCATGTGAAAGTGACTACTGCATATAGTAGGTGCTCATTAAAAGGGAGTTCCCTTTCTCTGGTTCATAGGTGGAGAAAGTGAAGCTCCGACTATGAAAGTGAATTACCCAAGATCTTCTAGCAATGTCATAGTAGACTGAGATTTAAAGAACATTACCTAGAACCATCCAAGGGCTAGATGCATTCACACATTCGCAACCCTGGCATGTCTTCTCTCATTTTACAAGTGAGAAAACTTGAAAGAGGTTGAGTTACTATCTGAGAGTACCCCAGTGAGAGGAAGTGGCAGAGCTGGGATGAAAATTCAGGCCTCTCTGGTCCCAACCCCAGCTACCCCCTCACCACCCAGCCGGGACCTCATTCGTCTACCACCACTCCCTTCCCTATATACCCCTTGTGGTCCCTCCTGTTGCCTTGGACCCTCTTGATGTGTGGAGTGCTTTAGTGGCTCAGACAATGAGGTAGTGGGTTGAATGGAAGATCTCTGAGGTCACATTACACGTGAGTGTGCTCCAATTCCAGACCCCAAGGGCTGCTGAAAGGTTCTAGTTTGCAGGGCTGACTTTTCCTGGGCTTGGACATAACATGGTTCATAAACATCACAGGCAGTTGCAAAGTGGAGGAGGGGAACCAAGGGTCCTCAGGACAGCTAGGTGATCAGTGTACTCCACACCCTGAAACAGCCCTTCTGGCATGCTCCTATCAGAGACCCACCATTGCAAGGTGGAGACCTTGTTTTGCTCTTGACTCTATTTGGCCCTTTGCATTAAAGCTGGCCCTTAAAAACATAAAAGTCTCCAGGTAAACACTGTTTCCTTGGATAGTGCTTAAGGAGAACTGCTGTCTTTAAAAGCATATCTCAGGATGTGAAGACTCCCAGTGGAGAAGCAGCTGTTGCTATCACATGTCTGGTCCACTTTCCAGACACCCTCTATCAGTAGTTCTGTTTTTTTTTAACCAAAGACAGCAGCCTTGCTGGAGGGCAGAACTGGTGATCAGGCACTGTATCTACACATCTCATGTAATCTTTATGGACACCTAGTGAGATAGGAACCTTTACGAATGAAGAAAATGAAGATGGAGAGGTGAAGGATTTTTCAGCTTATATGTGAGAGAACCAGGATTCAAACTTAGAAGTGCTTGACTCAAAAGCCCTAGCAAAGGTTAGACTACCCCTCCAATTCTTTCCTAGAGGTCACAGGCGGTTATCTATCTTTCAGAGTCATAGATCTGTGAAATCCTAGAAGGCTAGTGGCTCTTCATCCAATTGCCCACCCAGGGCAGGAATCCCTAACTTCACTGAAAGGTGTACTTGCCCAGGTGTTCTGTGCAAACCCATCCAATGATAGGGAACCACCACCTCTTGGGGCAGTACCTTCACCATAGGACAACGCTGATCATTTAAAGTTCATCTTATACTAAGCACAGATTTTCTCCTTTGGAGCCTCCCCTGTTCCCAGCTCTATCCTTAAGGGCTGGTTCCTCTGTTCCCAGACCGTCAGAGACAGTGCCTGCTCCTTAACTGACCACTGCTCTGGGATATATGCCCCCAGCTCTCTTACCCCCTCCTCAAAGGTCCCTACTTTTAGAGGGCCATTTCCATCCAGCTGCCCACAGATGTCCCTCGAAAAGGGTGGGGTCCCAAGTCTCCCAGATAACAGCCTGATAAACAGTGAGTATATCTCAAAAAAGGAAATAATGTTTAAATAAAGTGCTTACAAGAACTAAAAAGTACTACATGCTCAATGTAGGAAATGTAGAAAGCACGGGAGAAACAAAAAAAGGAAAGAAACCATGGGAGATCCAGTGTCTTAACTTGGGTTCTCAGAAAACTCAGAGACAAGGATTTGAGGGCAAGTAGTTTATACGGAAAGTGATCCTAGAAAACACTGATAGAGGGTGGGGAAGTGAGCCGGGGAAGGGACGGAGCTAACAATGATGTGTCACCAAGTAAGTCACCCCTGAGGGTCACTGGAGCTTAAACCTGCTGAACTCTGCCAGACAGTGCAGAATGTACCCCTGAGTCATCCCACCTGAGGGTCAGGAAGCTGGGTGTTTACATCCAGCATCTGTCAGTCCCTGGTTGTGTGCAGTGGGAGAAGGGAGGCGTTAATTTTCCTGTACTTCTGACCTGCTCACTGTGCAGACAGAGGCTGTTCTAAACCCAAGAAAGCCCTCAGATAAAGAGATACAGTTGCTGGCATTTGAAACTCTGGCCAGAGTGTTCGACAATCATAAGACACAATGGAACCTGGACAGGACATCCAGCCTGCACTACACCCAGAGACAGCCTGTTAGCATTTCGGTGTATTTCCGCCCAACCTTACATATGTATGGTTATGTATATATTTATGTTTATTTTTATTTAAGTTGGGGTTATGCTATGTATTTAGTAGTGTGTCCTGCTCTTTTCACTTAACATTATCTCAGAATTTATCCTTGACCTTAAATACTATTTGAAAACATGTTTTTAATGGCTCTATACTATTCTATGGCAGGGGTGTCCAATAATTTACTTAACCATGGGAAGAGGAACTCTCCAAAGCTCTAAGGTGTTTTGGTTTAGTTTAAATTAGCCATCAGCTAGCTGGGAAATCAGCCATCAGCTAGCTGGGAGCAAAATCCGGCAGAAATGGCAAAGGCAGGAGTCTGGGGCTGGAGTTGGGGGGGTGGGGGGAAAGCTGGAGAAGGAGCTGTAGGCAGGAAGGGCACACAAAGCCTGGTGCCAGCCTCTCCCCTACTATTGGGAGAACATCTCACAGTGCCTGACACACAGTAGGTACTCAATAATCTGTACTAACTGCCTACTATGCTACGTGGTAGCACTGAGGCATGTCATGTTACATATGTGGCCAGTACTTGGCATATAGTTCATGCTCTTTCCCATGCTTAGGCACAGAAAACCTGTTTAAGACAAGTGGAGGGCCGGCCCCGTGGCTTGGTGGTTGGGTGCGTGCGCTCTGCTTCTGGCAGCCCGGGTTCGGATCCCGGCGTGCACCAACGCACCACTTCTCCGGCCATGCTGAGGCCGCGTCCCACATACAGCAACTAGAAGGATGTGCAGCTATGACATACAACTATCTACTAGGGCTTTGGGGGAAAAATAAATAAATAAAAAATTATTAAAAAAAAAAAAAAGTAGTACGAGAAAAAGTTATACAAAGAAACATATAGTAAGTCCTCAGTAACCTTTAACTATTGTTTGAT